CAGCTACAAATACAGGTGAACAGCTACAAATGCAGGAGGGTAGCTACAAATACAGGAGGGTAGCTACAAATACAGGTGAACAGCTACAAATGCAGGAGGGCAGCTACAAATACAGGAGGGCAGCTACAAATACAGGAGGGCAGCTACAAATACAGGTGAACAGCTACAAATGCAGGAGGGTAGCTACAAATACAGGAGGGCAGCTACAAATACAGGTGAACAGCTACAAATGCAGGAGGGTAGCTACAAATACAGGAGGGCAGCTACAAATACAGGAGGGCAGCTACAAATACAGGAGGGCAGCTACAAATACAGGAGGGCAGCTACAAATGCAGGAGGGCAGCTACAAATATAGGAGGGCAGCTACAAATACAGGAGGGCAGCTTCAAATGCAGGAGGGCAGCTACAAATACAGGAGGGCAGCTACAAATATAGGAGGGCAGCTACAAATACAGGAGGGCAGCTACAAATATAGGAGGGCAGCTACAAATACAGGAGGGCAGCTACAAATGCAGGAGGGCAGCTACAAATACAGGAGGGCAGCTACAAATGCAGCTGCCCTCCGTGTCACTAGTGGCCTAGTTACACGGTAATTGTCATCAACGGTTGTTATCTCGATGAAAAAGATAACATTCCGATTCAAAATCGGATTCATAATCGATTCATAAAAGAACATTCTGATTCCGAAATTTTCCGATTCCGTTGTGGTGGGGCTTAGAGGGTCTGCTGGGCTGGCCAGGGAGAGAGTCCAGGGGTTATAACTGTCCATTGTCAATCAGCGTCTAGTGTTGTTAATCAAATAATTCATATCATGTCTGAGTTGTATTATAGAATCCTAATTGTAATAGTTATAAACTAAAGACAATTTATTTTTGTGGTAACACAGATTAAACGATGATCAATTCATGTATTTTACTAGAGGTTTGAAAATGCTAATATATATAACAAGAGTGAAGGAAGTGAAGGAGGAGGGAGTGAACGCGGCGCCAGAGTGCCTGCATCAGTCAACTTGGTGACAGGTGCAGTCCTGTCTCACCAACAAAGGCTAAATACACAAAGAAATTACAATAAAATTCAACCCGTCCTCAGACCAAGTCCATTCCATCCAGCGGTCGACCCCAAAGAAGCGTACATCAATTTTAACATGTTGTTCATTCAAAACAGAAATTGTCTCAAATAAAAATGTAAAAATGTCGTCAACATTCCTGCAGTATATGGCCGGTTTCAAGTTCATGTCGTATAAGACTTTTTGCTAGAAGAAGAAGAACCCATGAAGAAGTTCCTAGGTGTCCTGTTTGCGAACTTCTACATGGGTACCATCGAGCAAAAAGTCTTAGTCGACATGAACTTGAAACCGGTCATATACTGCAGGTATGTTGACGACATTTTTGCACAGGTACCTGATGTCAGACATCTGCAGGAGCTGAAGGAGGCATTTGAGCAGAATTCTGTGTTGCGTTTCACTTACGAGATGGAGAAGGATGGGAAGCTGCCCATTCTAGATGTAACAGTCATGGAAAGGAGCGGAGGTTTCCACACTGCAGTCTACACTAAGGAAACAAACATAGGAATGTGCCTAAATGCCAACAGTGACTGCCCAGACAGGTACAAGAGGAGTGTTGTTAACGCTTATGTTGTTGGAAATTTCCAACACTAATACAACACAGTTGTATTATTATTAATTATTTCTAAAATCTACTAATTACTGTAGTAACTAAAATTAACCAACAGTAGGGTTCACATGAACTAATAATTGTATCTGTACAATAATGCTAGAATTCTTACGTAACCAAACACCAGTATTGCGTCAGATTCTACCAAAATAAACACATCTATATCCAGTGTGTTAGAGAATTGAGTTTGATTCTCTAAAAACACGTATAACATGTATTCTGTGTGATAATTATTTACCGATAACCTGACTCCCAAATAATGTCAAATCGAGAGTTTCTAGTTAAAACTGTTATCTGGTAATAAATTTAACGTCACGCGTGAATGCCATGGAGAGAATTAAAATCATCCTCCATTTCTCGTTTACCATCGTAAAACGAGAAAGTAATAATATTTAACTCCCTAGAATTATAACCCAGTCTTTATCAAAGCATTTTAGCCCCAACTGCAAGAAATAATATTATTCGTGGTGAAGAATTTGTATAGCGAATGCGGGACGCGGGCAGGGAGAGACGCCATTAATCGGAGAACGTGTGGAGGCGTCGGTGAGAGGAAAGGCGCCAGAGTGCGGTGTGAAGACTTGTTGCGGAATTGAGCAACTCGTTTGGTGTCAGTGTCATAGGATACATTGTGGTGAATCGTCAGCAAGAATTAACCTGACATTCAGCCCAGAACTTGTCAATTTGTTCTGCGTAATCCATTGTGACCGGCCAGAGAAGCGCGTCGACATCTAGGCCAAGCTAGCCACCACATGTTCGCCATTGTGACGCTAGAGCCTGGGACGCGAGTTTCGGCAAGCTTCAACTTATACAGTGCCCTATTAGCTAAGTACACATATAATTCCCTTTTGATGCATCATTAGAGATTGTATACAGCAGTGTAGCTTGTCGTCACGCCGAGCGACATAAATATAACACATGTTAGTATATTTTATTACTCTCCATTCCCAATTTCTTGAATATAGATATTTAGCAGCCTAATATGTTGCTACGTAATATATCTTAATTTACAGCTTGCGTGTGAAGAATTCCCCGAGCTGTTACTTTACCCGTGTTATTCGTCTCCCAGTGTTTTACTTAGAATTCAGGAGATTCCGAGGATGATTCATGACTGATGTCTTGGAAAACGTCTTCAAGCTAAGACCTTTTTCCGTATTTCTTTATTATTCAAATTATCTGTACTGGATTATCGCTATTGATTACTGTGCACTGGAATTAACACGTGTTTATTATAATCATTAATTTCTGATATTCATGATCTATATTCTTATTAGTGACAAATTCACTATTGATTCTCTAATTGGTCATAAAATTAGGTTATTACACAATGAACTGGTGTACGAACCACACTAGTTCCTAGACGTATATGAAGTTCTAGCAATAACCCCCCAATGTAGGTGTTTGAGGCTTTGATTCAATTAAATTATATATACAGCCCATTAATTATTCAAGTGATTATATTTTCTAGTATTTATCCATAGTTACTAGTTCCTCTAGGAATTTCTAATGATCACATTTTATTAGTTTCCCTCTTTACTATAAAAGCGGGTGGTCCTTTGTAATTGATTTCATTACTTTAATAATTAAATAAATAGAGTCAGCCCCAAATGTCCCACATATGTCGACCGTGCTCTCAGCCACAGCTCAGGATGGAAGCAAATCGACGAAGAACTCTGTAGGGTAAGGCAGGTCCTAGTCAACAATGGTTTCTCCAATGGTTTCGTTGAAGACATCATAAGAAGGAAAGAGAAACGCCATGCAACCTCTGAAGAGACAACTAACACAACACCTATACCCCCTATTAGACTATTTTACAGGAACTTCTTTTCCACAGCTCATAAAACGGAGGAAAGGGTCCTGAAAGATATTGTTAATAGAAACGTTATCCCTACAGACAAAAATCAGAAGATACAACTGACGATTTACTATAAAACCAAAAAAACGGCCAGCCTACTCATGAGAAACTCTCCAGACACAAAGAAGAATGCTTTAAAAGAGACTAACGTCGTCTATGCCTTCAAATGCCCTCTTTGGGACTGTAAGCCTCAAAAAACTCAGTATATAGGCAAGACAACAACATCTCTTTCCAGGCGATTAACGATGCATAAGCGGGCTCCATTAAGGAACATATAATCTCTTCCCACAACCAAACCATCACCAGAGAAATCTTAGCAAACAACACAAAAATCATCGATAGATACAGCGATAGCAGGCGGCTTGACATCTGCGAGGCACTACACATCAAGAAGTCAACACCAGCAATCAACAGCCAATTAATGCACAACTATATTCTACCCACTTCAAGACTCCACTCCAATATAGAAGCATCAAGAAATATGGGCCAATAGGCCCTCTGCAATTACTTCCATTCTTACCTTCAATACCCATTGTTTCGTGTTCTATCTTGTGTTGAAAGTTTTGTTCACCTCATCCAAAAACTGTTGTAACATATCACCTCACCAAAATGCGGGTATAAAATGAAAAATGAAAGCTGTTTAAATCATAGCATAAGTAAGAACTCTGTTTAGTGTTTGCAGGTAATAGTTGTGTGTGTGTGTAAACTAAAAGTCTTTGAAAATGTAATAAGTTATTACGAAACGCGTTCAAGTGTCGCGTCAGACTAGAAATAAAAATGAATTTTGGAGAATTGATTTTTCAATTACCATCAACAATGAAAAGAAATATAAGAAATATTGAGAAAATTCGTGTTAGAATTATTAATCTTACTTTTTCGGTCATATTTAATAATATATGTCTACAGGAAAGACTGCTACCAATATATATATATATATATATATATATATATATATATATATATATATATATATATATATATATATATATATATATATATATATATATATATATATATATAAGAGTTCTTACATTCTTGTATTTTGTACTCTTGTTTTCTTGTACTCTAACTTCTTTTTGTTAGATTAAGGACCTGTCCAAACCGCTAGACGTGCTAGTGGCTTTGCGAGAATGTAAGAACACCAATGTTATGTACTCTCGCAACCCTATGTACCTTATTGTATAAATAAATAAATAAATAAATAAATAAATATATATATATATAAACACGACAGAACTTAGGAGATTGATTAGTATTCAAATATAGACAGAAGAATATCTCAACTGAGAAGAATATCTCAACTGATAAAAGAAATTAAATGCAAATAGTAACATGAGTGTTATGCCATGAAGGTGAATATATATTTTAATATACTAATAGGAAGTCGAAACGAAGACACAATACCAATAAGTAATTTAAAGACGGGTGGCAAACTGGCAACTGTCGCGTGGTGGTCTGGTAACAGCGGTGAGGAGGAGGCCAGGCAGTCTGTGCCGTGTGCTCGTGGGGGTGAGTGATTGCCGCTCCTCGCCACGTTCCCACTTGTATGGGCCAAATTATAATTGTTGTTTCTCAGTGTGAACTTGTAGCAAAGTAATTAGGCGAGTGATTTAAGTGTTACAGACTCTGCTTGGCAGCCAGGAATGGAGTAATATGATATTTTTTTGTATAGCCAGACGAAAGATTCAAGATCAATTAGACAACAGTTTCACTTTTTTTTTTTTTAGGTAGTTTCCTTATCTCAATATATCTCCTTTCCCCTCAAACAGCATTGTTCCTCTTACTGTCGTGCATAGCTGTTGTTGTTGTTGCTGTTATGCACCCATGTTGAATGTCCTGACTTCCGGGCCAGATTCACGAAGCAGTTACGCAAGTGCTTACGAACGTGTACATCTTTCCTCAATCTTTGATGGCTTTGTTTACATTTATTAATCAATTTGCAAGCATGAAAACTTCCCAATCAACTGTTGTTATTGTTATAAACAGCCTCCTGGTGCTTCGGAGCTCATTAACTGTTTAAAAATTGTAAACAAAGCCACCAAATATTGAGAAAAGATGTACACGTTCGTAAGTACTTGCGTAAGTGCTTTCGTGAATCTGGCCCGCGTCTTACTGGGGAGCCGATGGCTGAACGGTCAGAACACTGGACGCGTGATCCTGTGGTCCCGGGTTCGATCCCGGGCGCCGGCGTGAAACAATGGGCAGAGTTTCTTTCGCCCTATGCTCCTGTTACCTAGCAGTAAAATAGGTACCTGGGTGTTAGTCAGCTGTCACGGGCTGCTTCCTGTGGGTGGAGGCCTGGTCGAGGACCGGGCCGTGGGGACACTAAGCCCCGAAATCATCTCAAGATAGCCTCAAGATCTCAAGATATACTTCCCGACTGTCCCTAGTGGTCACTTGTTCCTCGATAGTATCCTTGATGAATCGATACTTTTGATATCGCTTGCCTTGTGCGCTTTTGTTCTCATATTGACATCCTTGGTGATATTTAGCGCCCTCTGAGTATCCCTCACACTTGATGGTGCTACACAGCCTCCCCGGCTTGGTGCCGCCTTCACTTACTCCTTCCCTTCCCTCTCCTTATCTCTTCCTATCCCTGCCACTGATCTTTCCATCCCATATCTCACGCACTTACTCTTCGTAAGTCACAATGTAGGGTGTGGGTAGCGGGCCCTTGTCACTAGGCTACGACGGTGCTCTCAACAGTACTCACCTAGTTGAGCTCTGGCTCTTTAGCCCCGCCTCTCAACTGTCAATCAACTGGTGTACAGGTTCCTGAGCCTATTGGGCTCTATCATATCTACACTTGAAACTGTGTATGGAGTCAGCCTTCACCACATCACTGCCTAATGCATTCCATCTGTTAACTACTTTGACACAGATTTTTTTGTTTCTAACGTCCCTGTGGCTCATTTGGGTACTAAGTTATCACCTGTGTCCCCTTGTTCGTGTTCTACCCGTGCTAAATAGTTTGTCTATGTCCACCCTGTCAATTCCTCTTGAGAATTTTGTAGGTGGTTATGTCTCCCCTTACTCTTCTGTCTTCCAGGGACGTGAGGTTGAGCTCCCGTAGCCTTTCCTCGTGGCTCATACCTCTCAAGTTTTGGACTTGTCTCGTTGCATACTTCTGAATCCTCTCTGACTTTGTCTTGTGTTTAACTAGGTATGGACTCCAGGCTGGAGCTGCATACTCCAGGATTGTTCTGACATAAGTGGTATACAAGATCAAGAACGATTCCTTACACAAGTTTCTAAAATATGTTGACCAATCTAGCATATGCTGATGATGATATCCTTGGGTATGATACAGTGTACGATAGTTATTTTGATAACTATCGTACTATCTCATTATCTTGAGATGGTTTCGGGGCTTAGCGTCCCCGCGGCCCGGTCCTCGACCAGGCCTTCTTTTTGTTACACATCCCCAGGAAGCAGCCCGTAGCAGCTATCTAACTCCTAGGTACCTATTTACTGCTAGGTAACAGGAACATCAGGGTACCTGGTTGATGGGGTTCTGGGAGTTCTTCTACTCCCCAAGCCCGGCCCGAGGCCAGGCTCGACTTGTGAGAGTCTGGTCCACCAGGCTGTTGCTTGGAGCGACCCGTAGGGCCACGTACCCACCACAGCCCGACTGATCCAGAACTTCTCTTAGAAAACCGTCCAGTTTCCTCTTGAAGATGTCCACGGTTGTTCCGGCAATATTTCTTATAGTCGCTGGGAGGACGTTGAACAGCCGCGGACCTCTGATGTTTATACAGTGCTCTCTGATTGTGCCTATGGCACCTCTGCTCTTCACTGGTTCAATCTTGCATTTTCTTCCATATCGTTCACTCCAGTACGTTGTTATTTTACTGTGTAGATTTGGGACCTGACCCTCCAGTATTTTCCATGTGTATATTATTTGGTATCTCTCTCGTCTCCTTTCTAGAGAGTACATTTGGAGAGCTTTGAGACGATCCCAATAATTTAGGTGTTTTATCTCGTCTATGCGTGCCGTATATGTTCTCTGTATACCCTCTATTTCAGCAATCTCTCCTGCTCTGAAGGGGGAAGTGAGAACTGAGCAGTACTCGAGACTAGACAACACAAGTGACTTGAAGAGTACAACCATTGTGATGGGATCCCTGGATTTGAAAGTTCTCGTAATCCATCCTATCATTTTTCTGGCTGACGCAATATTTGCTTGGTTATGCTCCCTAAACGTTAGGTCGTCGGACATCATTATTCCCAAATCCTTAACATGCTGTTTTTCTACTATGGGAAGATTCGATTATGTTTTGTATCCTGTATTATGTTTCAGATCCTCATTTTTGCCGTACCTGAGTACCTGAAATTTATCACTCAATTTATTTTTCAATGTCTTCAGCAGAGGTAATTTTCATGCTGATTTTTGTGTCATATGCAAAGGACGACACGAAGCTGTGACGTGTATTTTTGTCTATATCAGATATGAGAATTAGGAACAGTAGCGGTGCAAGGACTGTACCTTGAGGTACAGAGCTTTTAACATCGCTTGGACTAGATTTTATCTGATTGACTGTTACTCTTTGTGTTCTGTTCGCCAGGAAATTGAGTATCCAGCGTCCTACTTTTCCAGTTATTCCCATTGACATCATTTTGTGAGCTATCACCCCATGGTCACATTTGTCGAACGCCTTTGCAAAGTCTGTGTATACAACATCTGCATTTTGCTTTTCTTCTAGGGCTTCTGTGATTTTGTCATAGTGGTTGAGTAACTGTGAGAGACAGGATCTTCCCGCTCTAAATCCATGTTGTCCTGGATTGTGCAATTCATTGTTTTCCATAAAACTAGAAATTTGATTCCTAATCACTCTTTCAAACACTTTTATTATGTGTGATGTTAGTGCAACTGGCCTATAATTTTTTGCCAAGGCTTTACTCCCCCCCCCCCTTGTGCAACGGAGCTATATCTGCAGATTTAAGTGCTGCTGGTATCTCCCCTGTATCCAGGCTCTTTCTCCATATTACGCTGAGTGCTCTCGCTACTGGTTCTTTACATTTCTTTATGAATATTGAATTCCATGAGTCCGGCCCAGGAGCTGAGTGCATAGGCATATTGTCAATTTCTCTTTCAAAGTCTTCCGAGTTTGTGGTAATATCCGTTATATTATCTGCAGCTTGAATGTCATTCATAAAGAAGCTGTCTGGGTCATCAACTTTCATGTTGTTTATTGGTGTGCTAAACATAGCCTCATACTGGCTTCTTAGAATTTCACTAATCTCTTTGTTGTCCTCTGTGTACGTACCTTCATTTGTAATTAACGGTCCAATACTGGTCGAGGTTTTGGATTTGGATTTTGCGTATGTGAAAAAATATTTCAGATTTTTCCTTATCTCTTGTATAGCTTTCTGCTCCAATTCCATTTCCTCAGACTCATATGATCGCTTCAACATTTGTTCTATTTCTTCAATCTCCCTGCTTAGGCTTGTTTTCCTTGCTTGTGATAGTTGTGTCTGCCGAAGCATTTCCGTTATTTTTTTCCTTCTCCTGTACAGTCGTCTCCGTTCTCTTTCTAGAGTGGTCCTCTTTCTGCCCCTCCTCACAGGTACGTGCTTCAAGCAGACCTTGTAAGCTTCAGCTGTCAGTTGAGCTATTCCCTGTGTGGGAGTTTTGTCGCTTAAGACCGTCTCCCATTGAATGGTTGCAAGGTCTACATTTATTTTTTCCCCAGTCAATCCGCTTATTGTTGAAATTGAATTGATTGAATATTCCTTCTCGCTTGTTGGGTCTCTTAGACCTACTACCGTTATTTATGCTAGTTCGCACTTCAATGAGCTTATGGTCTGAGTATGAAGTATCTGAGATTGTGATGTCTCTGATTAGTTCATCATTGTTTGTGAATAAGAAGTCTAGTGTGTTTTCGTTCCTAGTTGGTTCTGTAATCTGTTGGTTGAGCGAGAATTTGTCACCGAATCTCAAAAGTTTTCTGACCTGTGGTTGGTTATTTCCCGGGTTATTTAGTTATTTCACCCTGAGGGTGAAAGAAACGTTTTACCCATTTGTCTCCGCCTCCACTGGGGATCGAACCCGGAACCTCAGGACTACGAATCCGAAGCGCTGTTCACTCAGCTGTGAGGCGCCCTTGGTGTAGTGTGGTACACTGCTTGCCAGCAATATTCGAGCTGCACCTGCAAGATATTATACACAAATATTTATTATTCAAGACTTTAAACCCGTGATCTAGATATTTAGTTCAGTGCTTCTTGGGTCATGAAGACCACGTGTTGCCTGCACCACCACGCGTGACCACGTCTTGCCTCCACCACCACGTGTGACCAGGTGTTGCCAGCACCACCACGTGTTGCCTGCACCACCACGCGTGACCACGTGTTGCCTGCACCACCACGTGTGACCACGTGTTGCCTGCACCACCACGCGTGACCACGTGTTGCCTGCACCACCACGCGTGACCACGTGTTGCCTCCACCACCACGTGTTGCCTGCACCACCACGTGTTGCCTCCACCACCACGTGTGACCACGTGTTGCCTGCACCACCACGTGTTGCCTGCACCACCACGTGTTGCCTGCACCACCACGTGTTGCCTGCACCACCACGCGTGACCACGTGTTGCCTGCACCACCACGCGTGACCACGTGTTGCCTGCACCACCACGCGTGACCACGTGTTGCCTGCACCACCACGCGTGACCACGTGTTGCCTGCACCACCACGCGTGACCACGTGTTGCCTGCACCACCACGTGTTGTGCCCTTCACCACCACGTGTGACCACGTGTTGTGCCCTGCACCACCACGCGTGACCACGTGTTGTGCCCTGCACCACCACGCGTGACCACGTGCTGTGCCCTTCACCACCACGCGTGAACACGTGTTGTGCCCTTCACCACCACGCGTGAACACGTGTTGTGCCCTTCACCACCACGTGTGACCACGTGTTGTGCCCTGCACCACCAGGCGTGAACACGTGTTGTGCCCTTCACCACCACGTGTGACCACGTGTTGTGCCCTTCACCACCACGCGTGAACACGTGTTGTGCCCTTCACCACCACGTGTGACCACGTGTTGTGCCCTGCACCACCAGGCGTGACCACGTGTTGTGCCCTGCACCACCAGGCGTGACCACGTGCTGTGCCCTTCACCACCAGGCGTGACCACGTGCTGTGCCCTGCACCACCACGTGTGACCACGTGTTGTGCCCTGCACCACCAGGCGTGACCACGTGTTGTGCCCTGCACCACCACGCGTGACCACGTGCTGTGCCCTGCACCACCACGCGTGACCACGTGCTGTGCCCTGCACCACCAGGCGTGACCACGTGTTGTGCCCTGCACCACCAGGCGTGACCACGTGCTGTGCCCTGCACCACCGCGCGTGACCACGTGTTGTGCCCTGCACCACCAGGCGTGATCACGTGCTGTGCCCTGCACCACCAGGCGTGACCACGTGCTGTGCCCTGCACCACCAGGCGTGACCACGTGCTGTGCCCTGCACCACCAGGCGTGACCACGTGTTGTGCCCTGCACCACCAGGCGTGACCACGTGCTGTGCCCTGCACCACCGCGCGTGACCACGTGTTGTGCCCTGCACCACCAGGCGTGACCACGTGTTGTGCCCTGCACCACCAGGCGTGACCACGTGCTGTGCCCTGCACCACCAGGCGTGACCACGTGCTGTGCCCTGCACCACCAGGCGTGACCACGTGTTGTGCCCTGCACCACCAGGCGTGACCACGTGTTGTGCCCTGCACCACCAGGCGTGACCACGTGTTGTGCCCTTCACCACCAGGCGTGACCACGTGTTGTGCCCTGCACCACCAGGCGTGACCACGTGCTGTGCCCTGCACCACCAGGCGTGACCACGTGCTGTGCCCTGCACCACCAGGCGTGACCACGTGTTGTGCCCTGCACCACCAGGCGTGACCACGTGTTGTGCCCTGCACCACCAGGCGTGACCACGTGTTGTGCCCTGCACCACCAGGCGTGACCACGTGTTGTGCCCTGCACCACCAGGCGTGACCACGTGTTGTGCCCTGCACCACCAGGCGTGACCACGTGTTGTGCCCTGCACCACCAGGCGTGACCACGTGTTGTGCCCTGCACCACCAGGCGGGACCACGTGCTGTGCCCTGCACCACCAGGCGTGACCACGTGCTGTGCCCTGCACCACCAGGCGTGACCACGTGTTGTGCCCTGCACCACCAGGCGTGACCACGTGCTGTGCCCTGCACCACCAGGCGTGACCACGTGTTGTGCCTTGCACCACCAGGCGTGACCACGTGTTGTGCCTTGCACTACCACGCGTGACCACGTGTTGTGCCCTGCACCACCAGGCGTGACCACGTGTTGTGCCCTGCACCACCAGGCGTGACCACGTGTTGTGCCCTGCACCACCAGGCGTGACCACGTGTTGTGCCCTTCACCACCAGGCGTGACCACGTGTTGCCCCCCACACCACTACACCTGGTGACGTCGCTCTACACCTTCGGTAATGATGAATCTCTTCAGGGTAAGAAACTATTAAATATTCTTTATATGTGTTTCTCAGCATTGCCACATGCACATAGACAGCATGAAACAAATTAGAGTTTGATTCCGTACACACAAATTGCATGCAAGTGCACTTTTGTATATAATTACCAAAGTGTAGTTAGAAGATAAGAGCTACGCTCGTGGTGTCCCGTCTTCCCAACACTCCTTGTCATATAAAGCTTGGAGACTACTGACGGTCTTGGCCTCCACCACCTCCGTCACACCTAACTTGTCCCAAGCGTCAACCACTCTGGTTGTGGAAGTGAATTTTCTTTTATTTCTTCGGCAGTTTTGTTTAGTTAGTTTAAATCTATGACCTCTTGTTCTTAAAGTTCCAGGTCTCAGGAAATCTTCCCTATCGATTTTATCAATTCTTGTTACTATTTTGTACGTAATGATCATTTCACCTTTTTTTTCTGTCTTCTAGTTTTGGCATATATTATCTGTCTGCCTCTAACCTCTAATTTAATGCCTCTAACCTCTCTTCGTAGCTCTTGCCCTTCAGTTCTGGGAGCCACTTAGTAGCATGTCTTTGCACCTTTTTTCAGTTTGTTGATGTGCTTCTTAAGATATGGGCACCACACAACCGCTGCATATTCTAGCTTTGGCCTAACAAAAGTCGTGAACAATTTTTTTAGCATTTCGTCATCCATGTATTGTGTGTGTGTGTGTGTGGTGTGTGTGTGTGTGTGTGGTGTGTGTGTGTGTGTGTGTGTGGGGGGGGGTGTGTGTGTGTGTGTGTTAACTAAGATGGTTGCGTTAGGAGCCATGGGTGCAGACATCATGGTGAGTTGTCAGTCACGTGGCCACTTTCGCTGTGTGAGAAGACATGGTGGCCAGTGTTGTGTGGTAACCCGTGGTGCCGGCGGCCTTGTCACCAGTCTGGCTCAGCTCCTGCTGCCTCACCGCTCGCTCGCTCCCGCCTCATGCTTCACCTAACATCTTCCCACAGTAATATAACGAATAAAATTGATCAAACTATTTTTAAACGACTTGATTTAGACCGAATTAACCATTAAAACAGTTTTGTGTGAAACTTTGGTGGATGTGAGGGAAGGGGACTGTCATAGGCGGGTCGGGGTTAGCCCCATTGACCACTTTTAATGAGATTAGTCATTGCAAAATTCAGACATTGACGCGCAAAATGCATGTTGCATTCTGGACGCTAGCTGAGCTCTTAAATGGTGCAAACCTTTGATGTCGACCCGGGCACTGCCGGGTACCCCATCTAGTACTGAACCCCCATGGTTCATGTAGCCAAGCAAGTGATAAGAGATTGTCACTTGCTAAATGAACTCTGGGGTTCAGTTCCTGAGACCTTGTGTACCTCTGTAACCCTTTCCACCACCGCCCACGGGATGAGTATGGGGTGCATAATAAAGAATCATCAGAACATAATTTTGTTATTACATATGACCAAAAGGGTTAGATGAATCTAACATTAATCTCCTCTACAGTTCTTGTTATGTTCCTCCCCTTTTTTTATTTTTTTATTTTCTCAACACAATTTATACTTTAATATGAATTAGTATTAAGTTTTAGTCTTAGTGTTTTTCCTGCCCGAAACGCTTAGCGTAATAGTGGCTTTAGGCCTTGTATGTACTAGTTCTATCTATATATCCATCAACGTTTTGTATCTCACCTTGTATGTATATATTTTACCTGAATAAATATTTGTATTTGATTTGATGTTCACTTGGGAAAGAAGTTTGAAAAATTAACTTCAATGTTTAATATAGAATTGTATATGACTTGAGGGAAAGAGAAGTGTTGTGTTGAGGCCGTTGTGACCAGCGGGGGCGGTGGAGGCGTTGTGTTGAGGCCGTCATGACCAGCGGGGGCGGTGGGGGCGTTGTGTTGAGGCCGTCATGACCAGCGGGGGCGGTGGGGGCGTTGTGTTGAGGCCGTCATGACCAGCGGGGGCGGTGGGGGCGTTGTGTTGAGGCCGTCTTGACCAGCGGGGGCGGTGGGGGCGTTGTGTTGAGGCCGTCATGACCAGCGGGGGCGGTGGAAGCGTTGTGTTGAGGCCGTCGTGACCAGCGGGGGCGGTGGGGACGTTGTGTTGAGGCCGTCATGACCAGCGGGGGCGGTGGGGGCGTTGTGTTGAGGCCGTCATGACCAGCGGGGGCGGTGGGGGCGTTGTGTTGAGGCCGTCATGACCAGCGGGGGCGGTGGGGGCGTTGTGTTGAGGCCGTCATGACCAGCGGGGGCGGTGGGGGCGTTGTGTTGAGGCCGTCATGACCAGCGGGGGCGGTGGGGGCGTTGTGTTGAGGCCGTCATGACCAGCGGGGGCGGTGGAAGCGTTGTGTTGAGGCCGTCGTGACCAGCGGGGGCGGTGGGGACGTTGTGTTGAGGCCGTCGTGACCAGCGGGGGCGGTGGGGACGTTGTGTTGAGGCCGTCGTGACCAGCGGGGGCGGTGGGGACGTTGTGTTGAGGCCGTCGTGACCAGCGGGGGCGGTGGGGACGTTGTGTTGAGGCCGTCGTGACCAGCGGGGGCGGTGGGGGCGTTGTGTTGAGGCCGTCGTGACCAGCGGGGGCGGTGGGGGCGTTGTGTTGAGGCCGTCGTGACCAGCGGGGGCGGCGGGGGCGTTGTGTTGAGGCCGTCGTGACCAGCGGGGGCGGTGGGGGCGTTGTGTTGAGGCCGTCGTGACCAGCGGGGGCGGTGGAGGCGTTGTGTTGAGGCCGTCGTGACCAGCGGGGGCGGCGGGGGCGTTGTGTTGAGGCCGTCGTGACCAGCGGGGGCGGCGGGGGCGTTGTGTTGAGGCCGTCGTGACCAGCGGGGGCGGCGGGGGCGTTGTGTTGAGGCCGTCGTGACCAGCGGGGGCGGTGGAGGCGTTGTGTTGAGGCCGTCGTGACCAGCGGGGGCGGCGGGGGAAGTGGATACCAGTTAGGTGCAGCAATATAATATATAACCAACAAGGATGAGATGAAATGATATAGGTATTTACTGTTTGTGTCTGCAGAAGTGACCCATTAGCTCTTGAACTCCGCCTTTCTATTCAATCTATTTTTCCACTATTATATCTACTATATGTAATTCTCTAACACACACACACACGCACACACCCCTAAGAAGGAGTATTTAGAGGGAGGTAATGACAGCTTTTTTAATAGTCTGTGGTAATATAAAATCCAAAGCGCACACCTCCGGGAAGCAGCCCGTAGCAGCTGTCTAACTCCCAGGTACCTATGAACAAATCCACAAGGGCCGTGACGAGGATTCGAACCTGTGTCCGAGAGCATCCCAGACGCTGCCTTAATCGGCTGAGCTACGATATAGCTCAGGTACCTATTTTCGTGTTAGGTGAACAGGGCCATAAGGTCGAAAGAAAGTGCCCATTTGTTTCCGTCTCCACCGGGAATCAACAAGGGTCATTAGGACTACGACTCCCAGGCGCTATCCACTCAGCCGCGAGGCCCCCTACCCAAGTATTCACCTAGTTGTGCTTACGGGGGTTGAGCTCTGGCTCTTTCGGCCCGCCTCTCAACTGTAACTAACTAGTCCCCCTCTCCCCCCCCCCCCCCCACACACACACCAGGGAGCAGCCCGTAACAGCTGCTTCTGTTACCCAGAAGCACAGACCATTAAAAATCCTGTCATTACCTCCCTCTAAATACCCAGGTGTTACTTAGTAACACCTGAGGTAACACCTGTTACCCAGGTGTTACTTAGTAACACCTGAGGTAACACCTGTTACCCAGGTGTTACCCGGTCGATGATGGCTGGCGCAGTACGAGCTGAGTTTAAATTCAAATTCAAATGTTTATTCAGGTAAAATACATACATACAAGGGGTGATACAAATATTGATGGATTTATAGATAGAGTTAGTACATACAATGCCTAAAGCCACTATTACGCAAAGAGTTTCGGGCAGGAAAGAAAGAAAGAATGTTTTGCCTTAGTCTCCAGGATGGTAGAATGTTCCTGTGCTAGCAGGCTATTGACCAGCACCTCCTCCCTAAGCTTTCCCAAAGTCAAGAAAACGGTCAATTTAAAGTGTCCTCTCCTAACCTTCCAGAGGACCCAAAACAGAAAACGGGACAGTACGTCACTTTTGCCAGCCGCTTCCATTGACTAGTACGTCGACAATTTTGGCTCTGGGTAACGCATACGAGCGAAAAGTGACGTTCATTGTACGAGGATAGGTTGTATTCATATCGACCACTTAGGCTGGTCGGTAGAGCGACGGTCTCGCATCCTGCAGATCTGCGTTCAATTCCCAATTGCCCAAGTGGTTGGGAACCATTCCTTCCCTGCGTCTCATCCCATATCCTTATCCTAATCCCTTCCAAGTGTTATTTAGTCAAAATGGCTTGGTGCTTTCTCCTGATAGTTGCCTTTCCTTATACAAACCTCTTGGATATTGATATTTGGGCGAGATACCTCCCCGCTGCCTTGTCCTTCATGGCGTTGTATCTGCCAATTATTTCAGTGTATTGAAATTGAAATTGAAATTGAAATAAGTTTATTGAGGTAAAATACACACAAAGGGATGAGGTAGCTCAAGCTATTCTCACCCCGTTCAGTACAACGTGTTAATATATACATAGACACACATCACAAATAAACACATTACCAAACATTCTGAGAGGTAAAAATATACATTTCCTCCCTCACAAGTAGTATGGTATCAGACGTACACACAAATACTAATACAAATACAAAGGGGTGTATTGGTCAGAGTAACTATTGTGATGGTCTAATTGTGTGTAGACTTTGTGACCTTTGATAGTTGTCGTTTGTTCGTTGTCAGGTGCCTTGAAAGATATGATAATGTCCTGTGTATATACTAAGAAATTTGTGGCTGACATTGCCCAAGTGGACATGTAACATGTGGGTGTTGTGAAGGAAGACTATTATAACGTTGCAGTCGGAAGTTCCCACACCGCGCACTCTGTGGTAAAACCTTTCACCCAGTTACTGTTTTCGTAACATGAGTCTTCAGCTTGGCCTCAGCGATGAGACACCATTAT